CACTCACACACACTCACTCACTCACACACGCACACACACACTCACACACACGCACTGAAGGTCAGCAGCTCCGTCTCACTCACGCACATACACACGCTCACTCACACACACACTCACTCGCACACACACACACACGCACACACTCCACACGCACTGAAGGTCAGCAGCTCCGTCTCACACACACTCACGCACATGCACACACTCACACACGCACACACACACTCACGCACATGCGCACACTCACACACGCACACTCACTCACACACACTCACTCACTCACACACGCACACACACACTCACACACACGCACTGAAGGTCAGCAGCTCCGTCTCACTCACGCACATACACACGCTCACTCACACACACACTCACTCGCACACACACACACACACACACACTCCCCACCCCACGAACACCAGCACCACACCCACATACAACCGCCAGCACCACACACACAGGTGTCAAGCTCTGTGTCTCGGGGGGAAGGTGAGGGCCGACGCAGGCCATCCATCCAGCACCCCCTCTTTTCCAACCCTCTCTCAGTGCCAGAGCATGATGGATTATGTGATTCTCGTGGCCTAACCCCTTCTGTTCTCCTGCTGGGATGGCAAAACACACACCCGCCCACACACACACACACACACACACACACACACACACATGCTCACACTCACTCACACACGCACACTCACTCACACTCACTCACGCACACTCAGACACGCACACTCACTCACTCACTCACTCGCACACACACACACGCACACTCACATGCGCACACTCACACTCACACACGCACACACACACATGCACACACTCACTCACACACACACTCACACGCACACACGCACACACACACGCACACACACACTCACTCACATGCACACTCACACACACACATGCACACACTCACTCACACACACACTCACACACGCGCACACACTCACACACGCACACACACACTCACTCTCTCTCACACTCACACACACAGGCTGCTAATACACACATATTTTTCAGTGAAGACACTTATGGTTGTCAGTCAGTGATTTATGTCTGATAACAGAATGAAGAATATGTGTAACATGCAGCCAGAGATAGAAAAAAACAGAGCTCCAGTGACACAACTTAACCTCAGACATCTGCCACTGTACCTAGTAAAGGCTACCGTTTTGGGAAAATATATAACCTGTGAGTTTTTTCGAATATTTTACATGGTTTTTCATCCACATTTATGAGCATGTATATCCTACATGTATGGATCATGTTATGTAAGGTGGGAGTCAGTGCTTATGGTGACAAGTGAGTCTTCTGTCCGTGTTTGACCCAGATGAATGTTAACAAATGAATTCCTAACATTACGACTGAACGCTGTGTGTGATTTCAGGTCAGATGCCGTACTGGCAGATATTCCTGTACTTCCTGATTTCTCTGCTGCTGTGCTTCCTGCTGGTGCTGCTGCTGTCCTTCTGCTTTTACAAGACGTTCACGCTCCTCAAGAGCACCTTCTGCCCAGCCATTCAACTCCCGGGTCACATTCAGGAGGTACATTTATTACTTGCTTTAAAATTATATGAAATCATAAGGTTTCAAATACATTTGATGCATCTCAGATCAGTTTCTACGTTTTAGTAGTTATGTGTAGATTAACTGTTTGTCAAAAAACATTTATCAGCTCTCTTCAAGAACAAATGAGAAGAAAAGAAGAAAACGCCATTTTCAGGGGTTGTATTTTAACGAACTCCTCCCAAAGATTTGATCAGATCAACACCAAATTTGGTCAGTCTAATCTAAAGCCTTTTATGATGGCCTTATTATGATGTTAAATTGCGAAGATCTTGAGTTTTCGTTGTAGGGTGTGTCCGTGGTGGCCTGACGAATTTCTATGTTTTGCCATGAAACAGGAAGTAGTTATAATTCAGGCACAATGTTTGATGCCCCTATTCAGTTGTAGTCATAGTGCCACCTGCTGGCAACAGGAAGTTTTTTAATGACATCAACATCATATTTGGTCAGTGTAATCTAAAGGCCTTTGCGATGTTAAATTAAACCCATCTAAAGGCCAATATTCAGTTATACTCATTGCGCCACCTGCTGGCAACAGGATATGTCATGTTTTACACTAACTCAAACATCAATGTTTTGCCATGGAAGAGGAAGTTGTTTTAACTAGAGCCCGACCGATATGGGGTTTTTGGGACCTATACTGATATTAGGGAGTTAAACAAGGCCGATATCGATATATCGGCCGATATTCTTTGTGTATATTATAGGACAGTACCAGTCAAAAGTTTGGACACTTTTCCATTCGTTTGTCCAAACATTTGACTGGTACTGTACTATAATATACTAAGGGCCCTCCCCTAATGGCCCATCAGTGTGACTGTGAGGCAGGTAAGAAAGAATGTGAGGAGACTAAAATAATGGGGGTTTTCATTAGTAGTATTTTATTTACAACACAGTATAATCAAAATATACACAGTGAAGGGCAAAGACACATTATATGAATTTGTATTCATATACACAAATGCTTTGTATGTACTATCGTAAAAAAACAAACATTTTATGTTATAAACATCTATATGCATGAACAGAGTATTAATAATAAACATTGATCTAAATGTTCTTAGACTCTAACATTCATCATGTTACAGTATAAAGACTCAATTACTTTTATATCGTATTGTTTTATATTTTATAGAACATGTTTCATTCGATTTCAAGCATTTTAGTCTGGAATTATAGTTTGGGAAAAACCCAACTAGTAAATGTGTTTAAGTTTATATCACAATAGCACGTTAACTAATGCAAATAAGAAACATGACTTGCTCGTCAGAAATGATCTCCTCCGCTGCTCAAGCCACGCGTCGCATCGCATTCTTCTTCTGAGGTAAATTCTGGCTTATTCCTCTCAGCGCGTCTTCCAGAAACGAAAAGTATCCAGATGAACTTGATGAATCTTCAGGCATTGTTTACTGAAGTGATGTGGGTCTCATCTGAGGCTTGTGTGTCTCACGTTAATGATTACTGTATGAACAGCGCGCACTGCGTGTGGGTGTGATCACATTACAGAAAATGAGCTCAGACGGGAAAAACTGGTCCTCGCATTGGTTTCATACAAATTACTTTATCAGAGAATATTTTTTTCCGATAAGACTTAATTTAAAAGTAGACACTTCAAGCTTTCTATAGATACATTTCTCATGTCTGTGTGTGAAGTATTCGCTGAGTTTTGGTTCATTTTAGTGACGCGTTTCAGAATGATTTTCGCAGAGACTGAGACAGCAGAAAGAGCACCCTGTTTGTTTTCTTTATTTTACAAAAGCACAATGTTTTGTTGATATTGTGAGCATACATAAATAAAAGTAGACCCTTCGCAGATTCAAATTATGTATTAATCTTATATGTACGATCAAAAATAACAGTGCATTTTTTATTTTTAATCAGTAATTCCATCAGCAAAAAAATTCCTAATTCCACAGAAAAAGTTCTGCCAGAAATATATGAGGCAAACCAATTAAGAGCATTTCCTCGTATTCCTGCCCACTCCTGCTCCAAAAGAATATTGTGCACTACAGTATAGTGTCAAATGCGGCTGTCAGATCATTAAAACCAAAATTGCACACTTTCCTGAAACGACGGCCAGGAACAGATAATTTGACACTTTGAGAAAAGCTGATTCTGTACTGTGTGGGTTTCAGATTAATAGTCCAGATCGCCAGAAGTGTCTGTCATGAACAAAAAGTCCAGCTCCACATTATTTTGTCTTTTTATAATCTGAGTTCAAATATGGAAGTGAGCTTAATAGGAACATTTACCCTACTTGTCCACTTGATCCTATTCCATCTCATCTCCTTCAAGCCATTTCTCCTGCCGTTGTACCTGCACTCACTCACATCGTTAACACATCCCTACACACTGGGGGCGAAAAGGGGCTGTTAAAATGTATTTGTCTTTGAATCATACAAGAGATTCTTTCAAGAACGCTGATTCATCCAGTAATGAATCAAGTACATCTTGAGTGCATCTTATATATGAGATGTGTAGAGATGTGCATCTCATGACTTAGGCCAATACGATACGCATCTCGATGCATAGCCAACGATACGATACATATGAAGCAGCTACCGATGCGATACGATTCACCCCTGTTACAGTGCAGTGCGATCCGATTACGATTCGATTCGATTCAACAATGGAGAAAATTATCACTTTTAATGCTTCGAGGCCCGTTTCATAAAACAAGTTAACCAAATAAGCCAGGCTTATTTCAGTTAGTCTGACTCATTGTCAAATTATTTGGTTCCATAAAGCAAATTTAACATACCGGTAGATTAACCTTAGTCACTGTGGCAACTTATGCTGAGAAACTAAACTGGTCTAAAGCAGGCTAGCTGTCAGACTAAGCTAAGCTCCTCTAACACTGACTAATAGGAACCCAATGATATTGCTACTCTCTCACATACTATTATTTATGTATCTTTTATAGTCTGCAGAACAGATAGCAAAACACTAGAATATTACAATCTAAAATTGCTCTTTAAAGCATTAAAATAACTCATTTTAACTTATTTTAAAACAATTAAAATAAATAAAAGTTCAAATCACTGAATTAAAAATGAAAATAAAGACAATTACTATATTTTATAATTGACTGGTATAAGAAACGCATTAACTCATCAGAGCTTAGTAATCAGTACTGTACTATTTGACCTATTACAAGTCCCTTCACAGTTACTGCTATCATAAAAATACACTTACATGTAGGTTTAAAATTCTACAAAAGACACATTTAATGTCCAAGAACAAATATTTGAGCAAAATGTGTGTTTTACTCTAAAATTGCTCTTTAAAGCATTAAAATAACTCAATTAAAAGTTCAAATCACTGAATTAAAAATGAAAATAAAGACAATTACATTTGTCTGTAATTGACTGGTATAAGAGAGATGTGCATCTCATGACTTAGGCCAATACGATACGCATCTCGATGCATAGCCAACGATACGATACATATGAAGCAGCTACCGATGCGATACGATTCACCCCTGTTACAGTGCAGTGCGATCCGATTACGATTCGATTCGATTCAACAATGGAGAAAATTATCACTTTTAATGCTTCGAGGCCCGTTTCATAAAACAAGTTAACCAAATAAGCCAGGCTTATTTCAGTTAGTCTGACTCATTGTCAAATTATTTGGTTCCATAAAGCAAATTTAACATACCGGTAGATTAACCTTAGTCACTGTGGCAACTTATGCTGAGAAACTAAACTGGTCTAAAGCAGGCTAGCTGTCAGACTAAGCTAAGCTCCTCTAACACTGACTAATAGGAACCCAATGATATTGCTACTCTCTCACATACTATTATTTATGTATCTTTTATAGTCTGCAGAACAGATAGCAAAACACTAGAATATTACAATCTAAAATTGCTCTTTAAAGCATTAAAATAACTCATTTTAACTTATTTTAAAACAATTAAAATAAATAAAAGTTCAAATCACTGAATTAAAAATGAAAATAAAGACAATTACTATATTTTAACTGGTATAAGAAACGCATTAACTCATCAGAGCTTAGTAATCAGTACTGTACTATTTGACCTATTACAAGTCCCTTCACAGTTACTGCTATCATAAAAATACACTTACATGTAGGTTTAAAATTCTACAAAAGACACATTTAATGTCCAAGAACAAATATTTGAGCAAAATGTGTGTTTTACTCAGAATTATTGTGCTACTATTCGATTGCGCTCCGTCTGTTTAGCGTGCATGTGTGCAGCAGCGCTCGCCCACTCCTCACAGCAAGCAAAATGGATATATTTGCGGGACTTTCTAACATTTACAGATGAAAAATATACTCGTGACGTGTCAGTTATGCACTGAGGAAAACACAACGCCTCAAATGCATTAAACAGCACAAATATATTCGCTGTTTGCGATGGTGGATCGATTTAATCCATGATCGACATTAAACTGTTTAAGAATAAATGTGCACAAATTAGTGAGATTGTGTGAACTTAATTAGCCATTTATGGAACCGCTTTAGCCCCGATTGATTTGTTAGGTTGTTTCAAGTCAGGTTTTGGACTTTAATCCCCGCTTTTCCTTGGGTCTCCATCATATTCACGCGCAGCGGTGATGAGAGAGCGCGCTTGAGAAACAGTTTAGAGAGGAGAAATCAATCTGCATATAAAATATCGGTCACAGATTATTGGTCACTTTCTAAATTATAACAGTATAGCGCATCCACTAGTAATTATATATAAATCATTTTTTACCGATGCAAATATGTTAGAAACTATATAAATGCCAACTTGTAGCCGATGCACACTTTTTAAACCGATGCATCGCATCGTTAACTTTTTATGCCGATGCACGAGCGAATCGGGGAATCTTCCCATCCCTAACAGTACAGGTGCATCTCAATAAATTAGAATGTCGTGGAAAAGTTCATTTAAACTTTCTCCAGAGTGCTCAGGACCTCAGACTGGGCCGCAGGTTTACCTTCCAACAAGACAATGACCCTAAGCACACAGCTAAAATAATGAAGGAGTGGCTTCACAACAACTCTGTGACTGTTCTTGAATGGCCCAGCCAGAGCCCTGACTTAAACCCAATTGAGCATCTCTGGAGAGACCTAAAAATGGCTGTTCACCCACGTTTACCATCCAACCTGACAGAACTGGAGAGGATCTGCAAGGAGGGATGGCAGAGGATCCCCAAATCCAGGTGTGAAAAACTTGTTGCATCTTTCCCAAAAAGACTCATGGCTGTGTTAGATCAAAAGGGTGCTTCTACTAAATACTGAGCAAAGGGTCTGAATACTTAGGACCATGTGATATTTCAGTTTTTCTTTTTTAATAAATCTGCAAAAATGTCAACAATTCTGTGTTTTTCTGTCAATATGGGGTGCTGTGTGTACATTAATGAGGAAAAAAATTAACTTAAATGATTTTAGCAAATGGCTGCAATATAACAAAGAGTGAACAATTTTAGGGGGTCTGAATACTTTCCGTACCCACTGTGTATATATATATATATATGATATGTATATGTATATGTCAGGGATTTAGTTCCACATACATATATATATATATATATATATATGTATATGTGTTCGGGATGTTTTAATCAGGTTTTTAGAGCCCCCCATGAAATCCAAGTCATTGAATACTGAGTATCCACCGATACAGAGTCCCGATTATTATCATTTATTAAATCAGCTACCAGTGGGTAGAACCAAGGATGGAGTGAGTAACCGATCATAGCTGGGTGAGAGTCTTGGTCGTGGTCTTGAATATGAATCTACAAACAGGACTGACTTCTCTCTGTCTGTCTCTCCAGCTGTGGTTAAGTGACTCCGAGAAGCCGCAGCTGCTGGCTCCGGAGTCTCCAGAGTCTGTGTGTGAGCTGCTGGTCATGGTCAGTGCTGAGCTGGACGCTGTGGCGGTGGATGAGCACTCAAACACTGAGGAACAGGACTCCAGCACACACGGCCGACACGGCAGCGGAGACTCGGGCGTTTACTCCACAGAGGAGGACTCCGGTCACAGATCTGACCTACAGATGAGCAGCAGAAAGCACAGAGAAGAGCTGCATGACGGGACGCTGCTGGAGTTCTGAGCTTGAAACGGTCCACAGATGTCAGACGGACACGACTTCAGCTTTCTGCAGCTCTGCCTTTCTCTCTCTTCCAACATCTGTCAGCTTATTGTACATGCAGAGACAGCAGCAGCTTGATGACATTTGAGCCATACTTTTCATTTCTGTATGTTAACATGCAGATTTCTTATGATTCTTATAGAATCTTAATTCATTATTGTCACTTTATATCTTTGTTAGCTTTAACAGCAGCAGCATTTAAAAAGAGAATGAACTGTCATTTGTTGGATTGTTTTCTCCCTCATCTCCACTCAGCCTCTGATTAAAATAGCCTCTATCATGTAACCGACTTGTTCTTGTTCACATTGCATCCCCATCAGTTTTTAAATGGTCATATTTCCAGTCGTTAGTCCTATAAGGTTATAGTCACGTTTGTGATCAGTCAGTGGAGACGGCATTGTAAGTGTTTACTGAAGACCCGCTCTCTGTTGTTTACATTAATATCTCCTGTATATATATATATATATATTATAGATTTGCTAGGAAGGATTTAGTTGTTCTACTGTTTAGGCAAGAAAAAGCTATTTGCTACATGTGTAGCTTGTTAAAGTAGGGCTGCACAATTATTACAAAAATCATAATTGTCGATTATTCCCTTAATTGTAATTGCGACACAATTTACATTGAATGATGTTTATACCATTGTTTGATGCAACTGCATGCCGTATTTAAATAAACAAGCTGAAAACACTAACTGAAAAACCTTTAATGCTTTTCTATAGTATTAAGCCTCAAATGTCAACTATACATCGGATTGGTTTCTTCATTAAATGATAAAAAAGTAAAAATATGAATGGTATTATAATGATATACTAAAACTAAAACAATGGAAAAAACCTTAAGATAACATGTAGAATGAAAAAAACATATCTTAAGCGTGCAGAATAACATATGCGAACTTTGAACGATTAATTGCTGCTTTGAATGAGTATGTAATTGTGGCACCCATAATTGTAATTGCGATTAGAAATTCGATGAATTGTGCAGCCCTACGTTAAAGTGCCTGTCCCGTGTTTGTTTAAATTTGAGCCATTGGCAAGCTACGAGCCAGTGTTCCTGGAGGCACACCAACACTACACATTCTGACCCATTCATTTTAGGTCTTGGATGCTCTACTAAGGAGCGGAGTTGAATCAGCAGTTTAATTAAGCCAGGTCCACACTGTACACTGTTTTTGGCCACGATTTGGCCATCTGAGACAAATTTTGGAAATCCTAAAAGTAGGGATGCAGCGATACCGATACTGGTATCCTGTACTCGTACTCGTAAAAATGCCCCGATACTAAAAGCCGACACCACACAGCAGAGCCGGTCCAGGACATAAGCGAACTAAGTGGCTGCTTAGGGCCCCTGTGGCCACCAGGGGGCCCCCAAGAGTACTTGAAATGGCTTGTTTTTTTCTTTTTTGATGATATATTGTGGCAATGGTAATTATACAAAAACACAATATTAAATAATTAAATCATCTATACGTGTCATCTTATTTCGATAGCGACGCGTCATGCGCATCAGATCAGAAGTGTGTACTGTAGGTTAGTCAGAATCCGCTCTGAACTAATAGTTTTCACAAGTTTACAGAGTTCTACGCGCTCGAAGATCGTCCCATTATAACAAGAAGAAAGGTTTCTCACATAATCCATTTACATTTTGAAGAAAAGTTTTGTTAGTCTGTTTCAGGGATGACAAATAACACAAGTGTAAAAAATTACGCGAGTGAATGCGCTAGTCATTGCTATGATTGACAGTGATAAATATTGTAGCAATGGACGGAATTAATTATCTGACAAGCCGATGTCAAAATAGAGCTGTGCATTAAGTGATGCAGAGTGAATTCAGCAGCAACTGTGTTAGCTGAATATATATCAGCTTCTACCGTATACTTACTTTAAAAAAAAAAAATTACAAATGCTGTGAGAATACAGGTATCAGTATCGGTATTGGCGAGTACCAAAAATGAAAGTATCTGTATCGGACTCATTCTGAAAAAAAGTGGTATCGGTGCATTCCTATCTAAAAGATTGCTCTGATCCTAGGCTAAAATCTGAAGTCTTTGGTCGTTAGTTTGACGTTCACCGACAGCTGATTAATGACTGTTGCGATCCAATTTAAAAAGTATATACATTTTTATATAGTCCACACATCTGAGATTCAGGAGAAGAGATTCCACAACTTTGGAGCAACTATCTCAAAGGCACAGTCACCTTTTTTCTTTAATCTGGAGCGAGGAACTACTAGCAGGATCTGTTTGGAGGATCTCAGATTCCTGCTGGAATTATAAGGTTGCAACAACTCATTTATATAAACAGGAGCTCTAATGCAATGCTCTAAACACCAAAACAAGAATTTTAAATTTAATTCTAAGGGAGTCAATGTAAAGTGATTAAAATAGGTGTTACGTGAGATCTCTTTGATGACTTGGTTAAAAACTTAGCAGCAGTGTTTTGGACCACTTATAATCATTTCAGGGATGAATTACTAAGACAAGTAAAAAGAGTTACTATAATCAAGGCGGGAGGAAATAAAAGCATCTCCATCTCCACTATTGACAATGTTTCTCAACTGATAAAAACTGTTATTTAATGTGTTGATCAAGACTCAGGGCTCGTCCCATATGAACACCTAAATTACGAAGGGAGGGTTTAACAGAATGTGATAAAGGACCAAGACTTTCCATCACCTTTGGGAGAACACCAGCAGGAGCCGAGATAAGTACTTCTGTTTTTTCAGAATTTAACTTTAAGTAATTATTTGCCATCCAGACTTCTATAGAGTTTATACAATTTAAAAGAAGAGATCATTTCGTAATTGAATGGGGCTTAAAAGAAATATCAAATGGAATATCATCTGCTTAGCAATGATATCATACACCTTGAAAAGTACTTATCAATTGTCCCAGAGGCAACCAATACAAAGCAAAAAGCAATGGGGCCAAAACAGAACCCTGGGGAACCACACGGGAGAGAGACACTGTTGATGAGGCATAATTGTGAACACTAACTGAAAAAGATCTATCTTTCAAGTAAGAGGAGAACCATTTCAAGGCTGTTCCAGAGATATCAACATACTGTCTGAGCCTCTCAACTAATACACAGTGATCAACGTATCAAAAGCAGCAGTAAGATCTAATGGTACCAGAACAGAGCACTCCCCTGCATCACCTTGCATTAACAAATCATTAAAAACTCTTACGAAGAGCAGTTTCAGTGGAGTGCAAACGCCGAAAACCAGACTGGAATTGATCAAATAAATGATACCCATCTAAAACAGCTGTATGTTGATTAACAACTACTTTTTCCAGGACCTTAGCCATAAAAGGTAGCTTAGAAATAGGTCTATAATTTTGGGACAAGGACGGATCAAGATTTGTTTTCTTTTGAACAACATCTTGTTAAAAATAAACTGGAACATGACCAGATGTTAATGAACTATTATTTATGGCAAGCACACAGGGACAAATGGTGTCAATAACATTTTTAAACAAAGTAGTGGGTACCACATCCAGGGGACTAGTAGAGATTTTCATAGCGCTAACTAGTTTAGTGAGATCTTCTAGTGTTATCGGAGAAAATTTCTCCAAAGTTACTAAACTGGAAGTACAAGGTATTTGAAGAGAAGGAGAAGGAATAATATTATCTCATATATTGTTTATCTTATCCACAAAAATAAAAAGATCCTCAGACAGAACAGAACCCATATTTAAACCAAAATTAAAAACACGATCTAAAGCGCCCTCTTATATGAGTGGGACCAGTAACATGTTGGGTACGATTACATGACTGCAAATTTATCAAAAACATCATCAGTATGAACGGTGAAATCACCAACAATCACAATTCTAGAGAGCTTAAGAGTAGATGATAAAAAATCAGTCAAATCATATAGAGAGGAACTATTTGGACCAGGTGGACAATCAATTAAAATACAATACAAAGGGATCTGTATGAACAACATGAATCATTTGCCATTCAAAGGAAGAGAAAGAAGAGAAAAAAAACCTGTTTCTAAACACTGCAAGTAAAGGGATCATTTCCTTGAGCGGAGCATTTTCCATATTTCTTTGCCAGGTTTCAGTCAAAAACAAACAAAGAGTCCAGCTCCTTGGTTTTAACAATATTGTTCAACACAAAAGTTGTATTAGTTATTGAGCGAGCATTTACCAGTGCCATCATAAGGGGAAGAGAAACGGAGAAAAATCCTGGAATATTTTCCTCAAAAACTGTAATTTCTTTTCGACTGAAGAAAGAAAGACATAAATGAGAGTAAATGATCAGGAATTGTTTATGCTGGAAGTGAACTAGTCCTTTAAAGAGAATAGGATGGAAACTGGAAATGGGAGAGAAGATGCAGTGCTGACTAGGTTGAGGTTAGGACACTGTTCACTAACACTAAAGAGGAGAGGAAAGCAGCAGACAGGACTGTGTGAGGGATGTCGAGAAGAATCGTGACCTGTAAGAGATATGAAGCACAGCGGCAGGGAATGAAGAATGAGAGGGATCGGGTGCAGGAGATTACCGAGCACAGTGAATAAAACACTTACCAGTAATAATATATGTTTGCAACAACAAACATAGTCGTCATAGTTGGGTATACTTGAAGAACGGTGAATGGGAGACTACCACAAATATATTTCTTGCATTCCCAGTTGCTCAAATAGCAAAAGAAATGACTTTCAATGAAAGGAAAAAGATTGCGAGAGACTGATAACGGCAGTCAGAAGAGAGAACGAGCTCAAGTTTACCGTCCCTCCCGGAGACGCTGCGTTAGAAACACCCACGCATCAGCGTTTACTGTTCATTTGTAATTTGTAATGTTATAAATGTACATTCATGTTTTAAAAATACCAATATGAAAAACTTTCGAGGATTTTACGATGCTGCTGACCATTAAACGCGTGCGTCATCACAGTCTTGTGCAAAGGGTCCATCCACTCATCTGCTTTAGGAATCTGGTTATGAAGAATCTATACCTGTAGGACGGTGCTATATTAGAGCAAGCCTGCTGACTGGAAACACAGTGTAGTTTGAGTATATGAGTGTTTGACACTGCGCTGTGCAGAGCTATGGGTGCATGGCTGGATTAGTGAGGAATGCTGTCCAGCTTTCTGCAGTGAAGCCTTGGACATGTGAGCAGCAGGTGTGTGTTTGCTGCCCATGTTAAGCAGTGCAGACAGCAGAGCAGCCATTCCTCTACCTAGCACTGTTCGGGAGGCAGACACACTCTGTCAGTGTAAATCTAGATTAAAGACCCATCTCTTTAGCCTGGCGTACACATAACACACTAACACATTTCCATTACTCAAATCCGTTAAAGGATTGTTAGGCCCAGATCAGGCAGAACGTGTTTTTTGCAGTGAGAGGCGTCTTTTAAAAATAGTTTTCTATTGGCAGTGAGCGTTTTGCATGCTGTTTTTGTGTTTTTGTAGGAAAAAATCAACTCTGAGCAGAAAAGCGGCTGACATTATTCGCAGTTTTTTTCCCCATTGTCCAATCGGATGAATGAAGAGGCGGGACTTCTGTTGTGTTGACGGAAAGATTACGGTTGCTTGCAGGGGCAGACTTAGTGATTTGGGGGCCCTAAACAAATTCCAGGTGTG